TGTGAATCTGTGGGTGTTTTCGAATTTTATTGTTATAACACAAGTTTTTTTTTTTTTGTGTTCTGGATAATGTGGAGGAACTAAAGCAAGATTCTGGATTATGTGTTTAGTTTTTCTGTGAAGCTTATGATATGTAGTTGTAGACTTTTTGGCCTTCTTCTGATTGAGGACAATTTTTTTGTTTTCTAGCAAAAAGTTTGAGAATCTATGAGGGGCTAGGGACCATGATTGTAAGTTTTTGGGAATGGTTTTCAGTTTTCATGGTTGTGACTTGTGAGAAACGATCTGAAAGATCCTTAGACTTCTGCAAAAGTGCAGCAACCTTTTGTCACTTTATGCGCTTTTCACGTGAGGTATCGAATCCGTCTCTTGATACTAGCAACATATGGCTGATGGTTTCTATAACTAATGCCGGGAATATGACTTAAGAAGTTCTGATAGACTGATTGATACACAGCTCAGTAGACTTTGTGGTGATGCATATCTTGTGTTTTTTTTGCTGACTAGTTTAAGATTTCTTTTCTTCTCAAAATTTGGCATAGTGGTTTTTGTAAGGCAAGTTCTCCGATCTTTTGTGAACTGTGCGTGGATAAGTTTTAGTTCTATGGCTCTTTCCAGATGGCGAAAAGGGAATCCTTTGTTACAATGTCACTTCTTTTTTCTTTGCGTTGTCACTTGCCCTTCTTTTATCAGCATATACCTTGGAAAAGTGAGCAATTATATAGTAGCTTTTTATTCTATAAGATAAGAGTAAGAAAGAGGTTTTTAAGAACTAAGTACTGCTGTTTGCGCGAATGGCCCATACCCATGTGCATTTTCATATTCTTAGTAGTTGCGAGTGACATATACTAAATAGCGCATGGGAATATACTTCGATGGAATCATTTACAATAGCATGGTTCACTCAGGGTTTCTGGTTTTCTGCTAAGTTACTCTCACATTTATCTGAGTATGATACTGAAAATGAACACTTTGTGTTTTGATTTTATGTTGATTTATGGCATTCAAATGTTGTGTGGAAATAATTTTGTCTGCGTTATAAAATCTTATGTAGAACCTTTTTTTCTTCCTAGGTAGTGTGAAAATGTCCTGGGATGGCATAAGAGGACTCATTTAGCTTGCACATGTTCAGGTGATCCGGAAAGTTATTGGCTTTGAACCTTGGCGTCCCTCTTAGGATTTAGCAAGGTGAAATCCGCGTTTACGCTTCTTGATTATTAAACTCTTTTAGACCAAAGGGTAGTTAGAGTTATAAGAAGGTATATTTCACAATTGGGGATTTGTACCAAGTAGGTTTTGTTTAACTAATGTAGAGAAAGAGGAATACTAATTAGAAATAGGTACCCAAAACTACAGACCCAGATGCTTAACTTTGGTAATGATCCTTGAAGCTAAGAATTTCACCAAACCATACAGAACCTCAAACTAAAAGTAATTTACAGCTTGCAATCTATCTTTATTTTTGCCATAAGAATATCAGAATGAAGGAACAATGCCATATCCTGTGTCGTACATTAGCATTGTGTTGAACCCTTGGTCATCGGCTTCGATCTCTATCCTCTTTGCAAACCGGCCATTGATCCGCGGTCTTCTCTCTGCATATGCCTTCCTTGAAGCATACCTTATTGTCTTCTCAAATTTCCTTGTCTTCTTCTTCTCTCTGTATCTCAGGACTCTGGCTTTTCTGTCCATTGGAGGGAGTTGGGTTATCATCTGAATTGGTGGGTCAGGTAGTTGGTCTACCGTTCCTTTGTGCATTTTTGGGTGTGAAGCTGTTGTGTCATGTGTTGTTGACTCTGGCACAACGCCCGTTTCCATGGATGAAATGTATGCCTAACGACAGAAACAAAGACATTCTCAATCCTCCTGGTAAGAGGACTAAAGAGAGTCAATGCATAAGGGAGCATATATTTTTTTATTTAGACTTCTGGTGAAATTTTGGTAGTTAATCCATGGATTTGTGTGTATGGTGAAAGAAGCAGCCTGCTGCTTATTGTGAAGATGATGAATTAAATGGCTAATAAATATGCAAACGCTTACGTTATGTTTTATGGGATTATTGTAGTTGCAGTGACTTCCTGAGGAGCCATATGTGAGACCTGACTGAATATTCTGTGGCTTGTGGCGCAGGTAGCCCCTTGATTCTTTAAGTTGAAGCGGAACAACTCTATCTCCCCCGTAGCTTATCTGTGGTACGCCGCAATCTTGTTGATTTTGATTGTATTGACCTGTGAATTTGTAGTCGTAATCCACAAGGTCTAGATACTCATCACTAAACAATAACCCATTGTCCTGGTTATTGTTGTTGTGATTGCCACTATTTTTATCTGAGTTAGGGAACAACCACGTAGCCGCCTCTTTGACATCTTCATTACCTTCTTCTTGACCTACCACCAGTCTGTTCTCTGGTTCGGTCATTGTTGTCTCGCTTTTGTGGTGAGTGGCTATGGAGCTGTAAGAGTTTCCAGATATTGGCAGAATTGGAACTCGCTGATGGCGTCTAGCAAGCGGGTTTGCAGAATGAACTTCTAAATCACAGGCTGTGCATAGAGATGCATCATCTGCCTCACAAAGAAAAACAACTGGGGCACGCTCACATGACTCGCAGACCCGAACCCGTTTATGGCGGGAGGCAACACGATTGGCAGAGTGAACTTGAGCATCACAGCTCGTGCACAAGTAGGCAGAATCAGCATGGCAGTACACGGTGCAGGCGGTTGACTGGCATGTGTCACAGGCTCGTGCCCTGTTCTCACCACTACCCATGTTGTTACTCTCTTGTTTCAACATAATAACTTAGATGTAGTAAGTTTGATGGTGTGGGAGATTGTATCTGAACGAAGGGGCTAATAAAGCTATATCTGTTGTGAGAGAATAAGCAGAGGAGAGATCGAATAATGAGCGCTTACACGTGGCACAGATTTAGTGGCTCTTAAATGTGATTGGATCATTTTGCGGCTGACTGGGGTTTTGGGAAGGCTTATGCGTAAAGTGTAAAGTGTAGACACTCCTCCATTGTCTTACTTGCATGGGACCCGTTCACAAGTTGCTTCGGTTTTGCCACTTGCCATACAGAGATTCTTAAGAGGAATATTGCCTTTTAATAGTAAAGCTAGATGCTAGTAAGCGTTCAAGTAGTTGAATATTCATCTTGAACCTTGTGATAACTGTCCAGGTATATCTCCGAGCAAAGCTTCGAGTCTCAGAGCCATCACCAGCTTTTACAGGTTTTCCACCCAACAAGGTTAGACGAACTCGTGAAAATGGTAAAGTTGTTTTTCAATTATTTATGATTCCATCAGTTAGAATGATTTCAATCGAAACTTTGAAGTGATTTTTTGATGAAATGTGCATTAATGTTTAGTATGGTCAATAAAGTAATGGTAATAAAAAGCATATCAGGAAGCTGACATATAAAACATAGGCACGGTGCCTGAGCCACAAGTTGAAAACAATTTGGAGACCAAAGGAGCAAGGTTATTTATACCACATGTCTGTGTATTTTATGTAGACATTTGCACTTGATCACCATCATAGTAACAAAACATGGCTCATGAGTGTTGTCACATCTCTGTAACATTTTGAGGATATGATAATACTCTATTTGAACTTTATTAAGATTTCAATCTGTGGAAGTAATCTAATACATACTAAAATTTGGCATGTCATTAATGGGAGTTGTCTCGCGCCCATTTCTATTTCCATATTGTATGGAGGTTAGGGTTTAAACTCTGTGTCTTGGGTCAGAGATTGAAAGTTTCAGGACTTGTCTTTAGGATCATAGAGGCAATTGTAAGGTTTTGAGCTACACTCGTTGACTAGTCCATAGGACCAGTAGATGCAGAGTTTAAAAGCACCTCTGTTTACTAGTTTCTTGGTCACGTCATTTGGTGATCCATTCTTGTATATAGCATCTTGGGTTTGCTTGTACTAGTAACCAGTACTTTGAGTTGCCTTGTTGGCGATATGCTAATAATGTTTACTATGTGGAAGCTACAGGATTGGATACTCTCTAGGTTTTGAGGACTAGCTCCAATTTCGCTTTTGTGTCCAGTGGATGTATGATACCCATTTTGTGGTCCAAAAAGAACGAGATTTTAGTGGCCAAATTCATGTGGCTTCCTTTAACGCTATGCCCGTATAGCTGAAAAGTGAGTTTGCTTGTATAAAATGGCTGGTCCTAGGATACACTTTTCGCATCTCTTCCTCTTTCATTTCTGCTTAGACAACACTTTTCTTTCCAATAAGGAAAGATTTTAAACTTTGAAAATGTTTTTTTCTTGGTAATTGGAACTTAACTTTAAGTTCTTGTTATTTACTGATTTTATGAGGAATGTAATGGTATGGAGAAATGTCATGAAATGGTTTCATGATCATTGAACTCTAAAAAAAAAAAAGATTCTATGTTCCTGATATTATTAAGTATATTTGGAGATGTTTGTCTCGCCGAAGTTTGATGTCTAAAAGCATTAGAGTAATTGGATTAATTTGAGACATCTTGGTCTTTTTTTGCTTGTAATACAAGAAAAAGGTATTTTGCTTATTATTGCTCTTTGCCAATTTGTGAGTTTATTGTTGTAGCGGTTTGGAACTTCTCTCACATGTGTAGACCTCCACCGTACATGAAAGTTGCATCGGAATTACGTGGAAGAAAATGTATTTTGTTCTATTGTGACTCAATCTCAGAGATTGAGAAGGAACTCTTTTTTTGATTTCATTATATATCAATTTTCATGGTTGTGAATACTTTCCTTCTTTCTAATTGAAGGTGAAAAGCTTTTTTTCTTGGAAAAAAAGAGAAGAGAATAAGAGTCCAGGGACCATCTAATGCTGCAATTGCAAGTATTATGCGGATTCTCCACTTTCCATGGCTGTGAGAAACTATCTGAGGAAAAGTGCAAAAGTGCAGTGACCTTTGGCAAAAGGTAATTACTTTTATGCACTTTCTCTGTAATATCTCGAATCGATTACTAAAATATTAACATTTAATTGAGTCTTAATTTCGTTGGTACTTAAACTGGTTGTCATTGCATCTTAAATTTCCTGAAAAGAAATCTAGTAACAAACTTTCTACTACTTCAAGTTTCCTTGTTGATGATATGGTAGTATTATCCAACCCAGGATATCTTCGATTTTCTTGCGTGGTTTATAAGTTTGTGCTACGTGAACAAACCAGATCACTGACTAGATTTTATGAGGGTCTTGAGAACTTTGCTGCAGTGGACACTTCTGGCTTCAGTGGATGAATGAGATCCGTTTATGTGGTCCAAAAAGAACTTATTAACACTAGCTGAGTTATGGCTAAACGTATCTTTTGATTGGTACAGGAATTCATGAGCTTAAACATGAGAGTGGGAAGCTATCATAGATAACTTGAGCTCTATGGCCCTTTCCAGGTGGCAAAAAGTGAAGGTACCGTGCCTCGTTATTCTTTAATTCTAGCATATAAAGTGGAAAAGGGAGCTATTATATCCCTTTGTTCTAAAAGATAGAGCCAGAAATATATTTCTCAAACTGAATATCTTTGCTTACTTGGATGGTCCACATAAAAGATAGAGCTAAAAGATAGACATTCACATATTCGGCTAGAACTTGGTTATGAGTGATATAATGTTAAGGGAAAAAAGGTGTTAGAATCTTGTTATCCGAGAGAGCCATGCGGAAATGGTTTGGTCCCGCAACCATGCTCCAATGCTAATCAGGAACGAGAATATGCTTTGATGTAATTATACCTAGTAGCATTGTTCACTCACGGTTCTCGGTTTGACTATTCAATGTGTGATTTTATGGTGTGTTTTTTTTTTTTTTTGGATTTCTCAAGTTTTACATGTTTACAACTAGACTATGTAATCGATTTTGATTAGAAAAGCATAGTGTAAAAACCTTCTTTTTTCAGGGCGGCATAAGTGGAATAATTTATCTTCTTCGTTTTCAAGTGATGTGAGAAGTGTTACCAAGAAAGGAATCAATAGTTATTTGCCTGGAACCTAGGCAAGGTGAGTTCCGTGTTAACTGTTCCTGGTACAGCTTGCTATAGTAATTTATCTCTTTATAGCATCAATCTGAATTTAGGTATATTCTATGTGGTGGTTATATTACACAAATAAGAAGATTTCTTTACCAAGTGGGCAAATTTTGTTTTGACTAGAGCAGCAAA